GCCCGGGGGGCGCAGGGGCTGGGGGGGGGGGCGGGGGGGGGGGGGGGCCCCGGGGGGCGCAGGGGCTCACCCACCGGAGCTGTCCTCCTCCGACTCGGTCTGGCTGCTGCGCTCCTCCTCGCTCTCCTCCTCCTCCCCGTTCATCTCTGCGGCAGAGTCGCCCTCTGCTTCCATCTCTTCCGCGTCCTTGCTGGGGGGCTGGATGGGCATCTGCGTGCTGGGGGGGCGGGGCTGTCACTCACCTGGGCCCCACTCTCGCGGTGAGGGGGGCCATGGGCGCTCGCGCCTCGGACACTACTGGGGATGCCCATCCTGGCCAGGTGCAGGGCGGATCCCGCCGCCTATGGGAGGGGGCCCCAACTCCGGATGGGGGCTCGCGCGGCCCAGCCCCCTCACAGCAGGGCCCACAGACCCCACCCCGGGGCATCCTCTGTCTTCTCACTGTGCTCCCAGTCAATCCCTTCTCCTGCCTCCTCTGGCACCTCAGGTCCCCCTGGCCTCCCGAATCCGCACCTTCCACTGCTCCTGGTGGCCGCTTCCTGTGAGACCTCACACCTGCCCTGGCAGCAGCTGCCACTGGGAACAGCTCTAACCTCACCCCATCCCACTTAACTGCTCTCCCATTCCCACTCCAGGCCACACTGTCCCACGGCCACACCCTCAAGTCCTGGGTGCCCACTTGCCCCACCTCCCCTTCATTCCTGCCTGCGCATCACCTGTCCGCTGACCCGGCTCCTGTGCAGGCTGCCGGCCTCCTTGTGGCCTGAGCCCCTGTCGGCTGTCAGTGCTTATCTAAACTGACCTCTGGCAGCACGGACAGCATTCCCTGCCCAGCTCTCGCGTCGCGTCTAACACTCAAGGACCTAAGCTACACTGGGGGTTGGGCAGTATGGCAGGTCTGGCCTCAGGGAGCCTGCAAGTTCCTGGGAGAGGGAGGCAAAGAGGCACCACATCGGACGTGGGAAGAGTTAAGAGCAGGGGTGCATGGGGCCCGGAGCCCCTTGCAGCAGTGAGGGTGTCCAGGGGAAGATGGCCAGATGGGCCGAGCAGGCCAAAGGAGGCCACATTCTGAGAGTGTGAGTAGCATGTGCAAAGACCCTGAGGTGAGCGGAGCCAGGGGCAGGTCACATGCATCTGGGACTCAGAAGCTGCCCACTGGCACAGACCGAGGTTCCCAGACCTCGGGAGAGGATACCACTAGCAGTGCAGAATGTGTGGGACGAGGTCCAGGACCAACGTCCAGGGAGAGTGGAGAACAGACCTGAAGTCACAGGGAGATGAATTTCAGAAAGGAGTGGTGACGGGCCGCACGCTGCGGTGAGTCACCCAAGCCTCACGGTTCTCTCCACCGAAGTGGCCTCTGCCTACCAGCGCAAGACCAAGAAGGGTCTGTGGCCACAGGGAGGTGCTTCTAGCTCTTCTGGGCACCGCTCTGTGCTCCTGTGGACTGGAGCCCCACGGCCGCCCACGCCTCATGAGACCCATCGGCCTCTTCTCAGGGCTGTGCAGCCCAGGCAGGGGCTACCCAAACGCCCGCAAGTCCTGGCTCATGTCGTAACTGGAAGACTTTGCAAATACAAATTCAACAAAACAAACCTGCCTGGGGCAGGGGTGGCTTTTACTTTGTGGTTGCTCAGTCACCCCACTAAGCCGGTGGTAGCAAACCAAAACGTTCACTTCCTCCACACCCATTCGAGTTGTGTCCAATAACTGGCCCGCAGGACATTTAGTCACCTTCCTCAAAGATTTCACAAATGCTTGGGCCCTGGCGCGGCTCTCCAAACCAGCACATCTTTCCCACTCTCAGGCGCTCTCCGTTCCTGAAGCTCCTAAACCTCTTAGTTCCTCTTCGCTGCTAAGGACATAGGTATTTACCTGCAAGAGCCACAGAAACAGCCCTACCTTCCCGAGCCAGAGGGCGGCAGTGAAGTGGAAGGGGGGTTCTGACTACGAACGAGCTAAATTAAGTCACGTCCACCCCTCCTCACCCCGGTGCAAAACACGAGGCTGGCCACAGTCACCGGTCGCTTAGAGACTGCCCGGGGCCGGGGCTGGACAAGCAAATTGTCAGGCGCGGGGCACATGCAATTCCTCTCTCCACACTGCGCCTCTCGGGTTGGCCTCCGGGAAAGGCGGCCCCTTCCCCGCCCTCCAAGAGGCCAACCCGGACCGTCCGCGGCGCGCCGGGAGCCTCACGCCCCGCTCCATCCCCCGCGGGGCCGGCTCTTTCGCGGCCAGCGGCCCCGCACGCGTGCGGCCGGTTACAGAGTCGCTTTGGGCCGGCTGCGACCGACGGGCCGGGGAGGCCGAACCGGGCGCCGGGGGTGGCGATACGCACCGCGGGCAGTGGGGCCTCGGCCTCGCGTCCGCGACTCCTGGAGGGGCACCGGAGGCTGCGGCTACGGGCGGCCGCCGGCTCCCGGAAGCGCTGCGCCGGTCCTGCCTCCCGGGGCGGGGCCTGCTCGCGCTTCCGCGTGCGTCACCAGGAGGCGCCGGCCCGGAGGCTTGCCATTGGTCCACGGGGCCGCCAGCGCGCCGCGGGCCGGTCTCCATAGCAACGGGCGAGAGTCTCCCGGGCCCGCGGCGGCGGGACCCGCGGATGGTTGTCCCGCTTACCCGCCCGCGCCCCGCTGCCGCGGTGACCTCTCTGCGGCGTCCCCGGGGAAAAGCGGCGGCACCTCCCCGCCCCCCGCTGCGGAGAATAACGGAGTCGGCTGCAGGTGTGAACACGTATTTATTTACACTCGGTCGGCGGTAGGCAGAGAACCCAGCCCAGCCTGTTGGGGACAGGACTCCTGCATCGCCTGCGGGCCCTCCCCTTCCCCAGCGTCTCCGCCGGTGGAGGCCCGAGACGAAGGACGGACGGAATCCAACGCGTCCCCGGACTTCTTTCCGGAAAGCTCCTCTTGTTAGGTACTCAGGCTTCTCAGCTCCGCCCCACTCATACTTTCCGCTCTGCTGCTGCTCACCCACCCAGGATTGTTAATAACAACAACAATAATAATACTGTAATAATATTAATAATACTTCACATTTGTACGAAGCTTACAGAATGTTTTCACATATAGCATCTCACCTGAGCCTCCCAACAGTTCTGTGAGGTAGGTATTCTCACCTCCCTTTTTACAGACCGGGTAACTGAGGCTCAGAGAGGGAACGGGATTTGCTCAAGGCCACACAGCTAGTTAGTGGTAAAGCTAGGACTTGGTCCCAGCACCCCAAGTCCAGTGTTCCAACACACCACAGCTACCACGGGAAGTGGAGTGACATCTCTTACCCCAGTCAGGCCTGAAGGGTGGCCTAAGGAGGCTGAGACTTCTCAGACTAGGATAGGGAGGGCTCAGCAGTGACGGGGGGAGTTGGGGTACTTGGCCTTCAACTCCTGTTTGAACTGGCGGTAAAGGATCTTATTGTGCTGATTTTCAGCCTCCTTTTGGGGATGAAACTTCAAGGCTTCTTTGAAACCCTTATGAATCAAAAACCCTTCATTCAGCACCTCAAAATCGAATCCTGCCATATGCAGCTCACAAGCCTGTGGGGGAGAGAGAGGTCAGCAAAGTTTGATGACATTCCTAGGGCCCAGTTATACTTCCAAAGTCAGGCTCCAGCAGCCCCACTTCTCCCTCTGGAGGCACCCTGGATCTTGCACAGGTGTCATCCGACCACCCCCTGAACTGTGAGCCTCCCTGCCTCATTTCCACCCAGGGCCACTCTGCTCCCTGACCCCACCACCCTCCTACCCCAGTTCCCGGCCCCGCCCCCTAAGGGTACCTGGCTGATGCGGTTGAAGCCATACTGCCGAAAGCGCTCATCGAACGCGGGCACCTTGCCTCCAGCCACGTAGAACGGCTCCCAGGGGTCCTGCCAGGGCACCACGTAGGAAGGCCTCAGTAAGGTCTCTTCTGGCAGGTTGACCCAGCGGGAGTAGTTGGTGGGCGCCTGGCAGGGCGTGCACAGCCCATAGTAGAAGGGCCGAACCTCGCCCACCTGGTAAAGTTGCAGCAGTTCGTTTTTGTTCATGGGCATGCGGCGGGCACGGCGGATCTCGAAGGCAGGCACTACCAGCGCGGTGCCACCCCACTGCTTGCTCTGATCCAGCATTTCCCGCAGGCCTCTCCACAGCCCCTCGCTGGGCACCATGTCCACGTCGATTACCAGGGCATAGTTGGCCCCCTCACGCGCCAGATTCCGCAGCAGATTATTGGGGTAGGAGACATTGGTGCCTAGCGCGTAATTGATCCCGGGCTGGGCCACTCTGGCTAGCTTGTCAAAGACCTCCTGGCAGGACCGCAGCAGGGCAAACTCCCCGGGCTCCCGGGGGTCGGGCACGGCGGCCTCGTAGCGCGAGGGGCACACGAGGTGCATGGCGACCCTGGCGCGCATATCGGGGCAGTGGCTGCTCAGCGCGTAGGTCAGCACCGTGGCCAGCTGCGCCTCCTCCTTGGTAGCCGCGAACACCGACACGGACAGTGGGCCCTCCCAGCGCTCCAACAGGCCTGAGAGGTGCAGCAGGTTGTCCACGCTGGCGTGCGTAGCAAGGATCACATCGTTGGGGTCCATGGTGGTTTTCAGTAGGCCCCTGTAGACGCGGTAGTCGCCGCTGGCGTCCAGGACGCCTCCGGAGGCCAGCGCGGCACGGAGCTGCGCCTTAACTTGGTCCACGGACCGCGGGGACGGGGGAAAGAACTCGAAATACTGCTCTTGCTCCTCCTGCCCGTGCAGCCCGGACAGCAGCGACAGGTAGAGCAGCTGCAGCATCGCCACCAGCATCAGCGCGGCCAGCAGCAGCTGGTAGAAGGCGCACCGGATGGCGTAGGACATCTGCATGGCTCTCCGGGCTCGGGGCGCGCAGCAGGGACCACCGGGCCGCAGCTCCGCCAGCCGCGGCAAGCCCGGATTTACCGCAGCCTACCGAGCGCCGCCGAAGGCAGCCGACGCCAGCCGAGCCCCGCGGGCAGCCCCGCCCGCTCCGCGCGCCCGCGCGCCCCCTGTGCGCGAGGAGGAGCTACTGCAGCCGCCTCCGCGCCGCCAACGTCGCCCCGGGCCGCGCGGCAGCCCCCGACACGCACCCCCTCTTGCGGGGTCGGTGCGCGACCCCCGGACCGAGCACGGCCCGAAGTCCTCACGCGCCCGCCCCAGGTCCGGGAAACGGGCAGAGCTCAGCTGCGGCCTGGCGAAGGAGGGCGCGAGCTTCCGGCCGTGGCGGTGGAAGGCTTTCCGCCCTGAAAGCCCCTTTCTCGTCGCGATCTCGCTGCCTCGGACCCCGCGAGGCGGCACCGGGAGTAGGTCAGAGGTGGCCGGAAGCTGCGGAGCAGATCGGCGATAAGGCAATGTGGAAAGGGGCGCCCCGTGCGGGACGAGGTGGCCGAGTGGTTAAGGCGATGGACTGCTAATCCATTGTGCTTTGCACGCGTGGGTTCGAATCCCATCCTCGTCGGTCGCGTTTTACCCGGGAAGTGAGTCTTAATTTTCTAATTCCCCCTGTCGGGAGCGGGAGTTGCAGGTGGCACGAAGCTGGCCCTCGCTTCTTTGCTCTGCTCGCGGTCCCCTGAGCCTCCCTGGGCGAGGCGGAAGGTGCGCTGGTCTTGTCCCTAGAAAGAGCACTGGGAGCCGCTTGGAGCCGCCATTCTGGCCACCGCCGAATTCGGGGCAGGTGTTGTTACCTGCAGCATTGGAGGGGCCGCCCTGCCGCCAGATGCCCCCCGCCCCCATATTCTTAAGTGGTGGGATCGGGGTGGTTGTAGTAGAGTTTGTTTAATTATTCTGCTCAGCCCGCAAATTCCCCGCCCCCAGAACTTCTCCCGGGGCAGAGATCTTCCTCACCCACCCACCCACACGGCTCCCTGCACCTCAAATATTTTAACACCTGCCAACGCACAGAGGTGCTTTCATAAGTGTGGAATAACTGATCCATGGGACTCTAGAAAAGGAGACACTGGGGGAAGAAGCCAGGCATTTCCAGACTGAGCCGGTAAATTGTCTGTAATCTCTGCTCAGGTTGTGACTCTCGCCCAGGGCCCCGGGCACCCTGGGGAGGACCTTGAGCTCCGGACTCCAGAGGCCATGGGGAGCCGATGCTGCGGTGGGGGAGGTGGCAGGGCACCCGCACAGTGGCCCCGTGCCCCGACTTAGCGCCTGCCTCCGCCAGGGACGCCTTAGGCCAGGGTGGGGCCTCCTGGGCGCTCAGGTGCTGTCCTTGGCTTTCGGTGGCGACCTGTGCCAGGAGCGTGGAGGACTGGCAGCCCGGGCCCAGCGAGCCGGAGGTCAGACTCCAGATTTGGTGCCAGATGGATTTTCTTTAACCTTTGGGTGTGTAAAAATAAATCACATTTGTTGATAACTTTGGTGAATCAGGATATTTCACATGAAATCTGGCGTTCAACTTCTGTTTAGATTCTGAAGACCCGGAAATGCCAGGCGGGCACTGGTGGCAAGCCGTGAACCTAGAGCTGCCCCTGCGCTGCCTCCTTGCCAGGACTCTGTCCACCCGCCCTGGGCCTCAGCGTTTGAATCACATCTGCGATGCTCACAGATCCCCGTTTACTGCCAAGGCTGAAGTTTGCCTGGGCACCGGGCACAGTTCACCTGGCCACCACACGCCAACCTCATAGCAGGCGCCAGGGACTGAAACGCCCCCTCATGGCCTTCTGTGCCCTCCCCGTCACCCCGGCTCTCCTCAGCTCTGGCTGTTTCCGGGTTCCATCCTTTCACGGTCACCTGGAAACACACCTGTAAAGTAACCGGTCATAAAATGCTTCTCTGAGTGACATGAGCTGCTCCAGCAAATTAATCAAATCCGAGGAAGGAGTCACAGAAGTCAGGAGCCTGGGTGATGATCTGGCCTCGCGACTGGCACGTGCAGCTTGCCGCTCCCGGCGTCAGAGTGGGGCTGAGTGGGGTGGACGCACTGGTGGCGTGGTGCAGGGAACCTGCATGCGACCTTCCCGTGTGTAGAAATACACTGGAATTTCTTTGCGTTGATCTTGAATCTTGCAACTTTGCTAAATTCACTGGTCATAGATGTACATACACATGTATTTTTTTTAAAGAGAATGTTTATTAGGAAAAGGAAAGGAGAAGGCCCTTGTGTAGACACAGCGGGCAGGAAGAGCTGCACATGGCAGTTATAACAGTGTGTGCGTGTGTGTGTAAGATTTTTCGAGATTCATTTACTTGTGCATACAAAAACTGGAGTACAGGCCAGAGGTGGGGGGCACGCTGAGCTGTCAGGGCTCACCTGACCTTGGCTGTCCTGACCCCTTCCTCCCCTCCCCCAGCTCAGCCCTCCCGTGTCTTTCTGATGACTCTGGTATTTGCCAGTGTTTTACTTTATCAGGTCACCTGCTATGTAAACGCGCACACTGGCTTATCATCCTGACTTGCTTTACCGCACGTTCTCCCAGACGCCTTCCGTGTGTTGAAGACGCCTCAGTGGTCGTCCGTGGGGCTGGGTTTACCGCATCACCTTGGCGGGCTGGACAGGCGGCTGCCCAGCGGGCTGTTGTAGACAAGCCGCTCTTCACACCAGCTCGCTGGGGCTTCTTAGGCTGAAGGCTTCATATTACCCTCTGGCTGGGTGCCCAGGAGTGGGGCTGCAGGTCATACGGTAGTTCCATTTTTAGTTTTCAAAGGTAAATCAGAATGCTTCCATAGTGGTCTCGTTAGTTTATGTCGCCCACTGTGTAATCATGCTCCTTTCTCCACGCCCTGTCCAGCGCTTCTGCTTAATATGTGTTCTTGTCATGGCGTGAGGGGGGGGTCTCGTGGCGTGCAGGGATCTCGTGGCATGGGGGGGTTCTCGTGGCGTGAGGGGCGTCTCGTGGCGTGCAGGGATCTCGTGGCGTGAGGAGGTTCTCGTGGTGTAAGGCGGTCTCATATACGTTACTCAAGACCCACCTGAATGTCTCCAAATGCCTGTCTTGACTTCCCAGTGGGATCACCAACCCCCCTCTCTATTCTTACATTAGGTACTTTTAGGGGGCTCCCCCAGGCCCACTGTAAGTTATTCGCCTGTTTCCATGGATGCAGGCCATGTCCTCGGCTTCATGGTCACCAGGCCAGTCGGGGCCTGTGACTAGCTGAAGACCCCTCCTTACTGGGGCTCTGCCCTGTGGCATAGCCAGCTGTCGAGGTCACTTTGCCTCACTTTCCTAATATAAACGCAGCCTCTGGTTTCCCAGCCCACAAGGTACCTGGCATGGCACAGCTGCTAGTGACTGGTGGGTGGCAGGAGGCATGGGGTCGAAAGGCTGTGCTGGGCACGGCAGGCAGGGGTGGGGTGCAGGGGCTGCGTCCGTCTGTGGAACTGGCCTGGTGGGGACACCCGCACCAGGGCTGGCTGCCTCCTTGAGGCTCCATTTCGAAGCAGCAGCCCAGGGAGGCAAAGGGCGCTGGCGGAGGGTAAAGGGGCAGCCCTGTCCATCTAGCTGGGCCCTGCCCAGGAACCCAAGGCACCTTCAAGCAGAAGCTGTGGCTGCCGTGGCCCCACCAGCGATGCCCACTGCCCCTGCCCTCCTGTGGCCTCAGGGTTCTCCCTGCCAAGTGGGTACAGTCACTTGCACCCCACCCGGCCCATCAATTCAAACAGCTGAAAGCACTTTGGAAATAAAGACTCTGTGAACTCAGGATACAAACGAAGAAGGCTGTAATTAGACCCAGGTCCCAGGTCAGGAGGAGACAGCAGGAAGGTGAAGGAAGTGCTCAGGGCTCCAACCCGAGTCCCTTGAGGAAAGGAGCTACAGGCGGAGGGCGGGAGAGCAGCACCAGGGAGTATGAGGCGGGGCTGGGTCTGGGCTTGGCCGCAGGCCGGTCACTTTCCCTGTGACTCCGTGGACTCACCAGTTCCAGGAGGGAGCACAGCCTCTGTCTGGCTTCTCCGGGGAACTCTGAGGCTTGGGGAGCACGGGTGTGAAGGGCTTTGCAACCCCTAAAGTGCCTAAACCGCTGGCTGTGGGCTGGGACCCGGGCCTGCGGGGCCCTGGGAGTGGAGACTTGGCAGAACAAAAACACTGCTGGAGGCCCAGGGAGCCCTCTGGGCAGGCCCCTTCTCCCTGCTGCCCTTGAGATCCCCGCAGCCTCTTCCCTGGGATCTGAGGGCCACTGAAGGGGCATTCCTGCCATGCCCACTGCACCTCAGCCAGGCGCAGGGGGCCTCTGGCCCCTGGTGACCAGCGAGGGGCTTTCTGGCGATTAGCAGGTGCGTTCCTGACGGGGAGGAAGGCCAGGCCCCTGGGCCCTCTAGTCTTCGGCCGACGCCTTCCTGCGAGGTGTGTGTCTGTGTCAGCTGCCTTCCTGGGTGAGGGCCGGCAGGACCCTCAGCCGGTGAATTCTTCCGTGCAGCACCCCAAGTGGCCAGCCACTAGGGAAGGAGGGTGCCTGCCTACTGGCACCCTCCAGACCGGGGGGTCTCACCCAGCAGAGGCTCGAGCGGGGCCCGCCGTCCCCCTGCGCTGGGCATCTGCCGTGGACAGGGCAGTGGGGGTACCACTGCCGGGGAGCCCGAGGAGGCCTTCAGAGCAGCGCCTTGAAGAGGAAAGACAGGGAGGCTCCGCAGGAGAGCCCCAGCGCCAGGAAGAAGGTCATCAGTGCGCCGGCCACCTCCCTCTCGTGCGGCAGCACCTGCCTGGAGCACAGGAAGCAGCGCCTCAGCGCCAGCCAGGCCCTCACCCGCCTGCCACCTGCGCGAGGGCCACTGGGGCCAGGCCGAGGTCGCTGCGGCAGGCCCTCTTCCCTGTGGACTGGGCTCCTGGCCTGTGAAATGAGGCCACGGGCCGATCCAACATCACAAGAGTCTAATCCCGCTGCTTCTCTCTGGACAGAACGTCCCCAACCTGGTGCTCCCGGCCCCCCTCCTCCCTGGGTCCTCAGCCCCACGGCCCTTAGCGTGGGCACCCGGAGCCCCGCCTTGACCAAGGCCTTAGATCTTCCCCCGCTGAGGCCTCGCGCTGGCCGGGCCCAAAGGGAGGGCAGGGAGATAGGCCTGGAGCAGCAGCCGCAGCCACAGTCTGGGCCGCTCAGCCCGGTCCACCCGGCTGCGGCCGCCGCTCGGGAGGGCCCAGGGCGGCGCGGCTGGGTCGGCAGAGCAGACGGACCCGTCCCGCCGGGCGACCCCCAGAGAGCCCGCCCCACCCGGACCTGGGCGCCAGGCACATGGTGAGGGACACCAGGTAGCCGTTGGACACGGCGAAGAGCAGCATGAAGGTGATGAAGTAGGCGTCCTGGGGGAAGAGCACGGGCAGCCGGGACCGCCCGGGCGCGTGGCACAGCATGAAGAGCGGCACGAACAGGAAGCGCAGGCACACCAGCAGCGGCAGCAGCCGGCTGTCCTCGTCCGGCTGTGGCAGAAGCTGGGGTGAGCGCGGTCTGCCGGGGGCCCCTCGGGCACTGACCTCCCCCACCTGAGCCACGGGGCCACCGGGCGGCCTGGGGCAGCGCTGCCTCTCCTCAGGCTGCTGCTTCCTCCAGGGCAGAGGGCGCCCCAGGCTGTCTGCAGTTTCCAACTCAGTTCCTCCCAGCACCCCGAGGGTTCCCCAGCTCCCTTTCCGGCGGGGTTTGCCGAGTGCAATCAGAACTGGGGGCAGGCCCGTCCTGGCTGGGCTCAGAGCAGCTCCTCTGATGGAGCCGACTGGCTGTGCGAGGCCGCGGTTAAGCAGCAGCGCCTCGGAAGGCCAGTCCACCACTCGGGACCCTGCCCCAGCTCGCCCCAGCTCACGCCGACGCAGGAGCCTGCAGCTAAGTGAGCACCAGGGCCGGGCCTGGGCTGGATGCCGGGGCCAGAGCCCACTGGGTGCGGCTTCTGCTGCCAAGGAGCTCAGGCACTGGCCCCATTTTTCCAGGGGCGCGGTGTCCATCCCAGGCCCAGACCCGCTGGGCTTCCTAAAGCCGCCAGGCCACCCCAGCCCAGGCGTGCGTACCCACAGGAAGTAAGAGGTCAGGCTCCGGCCCAGCCAGTCCATGACGTTGAAGAGCAGGAAGCAGCAGATGGGGTTGAAGAACTGACCTGGGAGGCAGAGGAGGGCTCAGCCTGCCCCGCCACGCCCCCGCCCCTCCCCTGGGCTGGCTCGGGCACTCACTCCACTTCCCGGGACCAGTGGAGCTGGTCACCATGGCTGTGATGGCGGGGAAGACAGACAGGGTGACTGTGAAGACCAACACAAGGCACAGCGCCGTCAGCCAGATCTGGGAGCCGGAGGCAGGGGCGTGAGCGGGCAGGGCAGCCCCAAGCAACCGGCCCGCCCCGGCGGCTGCGTCTCCCACCCACTCTGCCCCTGCCCCTGGGGCGACAGCGCGACCGAGGCCCCATTCCACCCAGGGCCTCTGGAGGCCGGAGAGGGCCGCCTTCCTCCCGGGCTGGCCGTCGGGAGCCATGTCGCAGCCAAACCTTCCGGAAGACAGCGAGGACAGGTGTCCCCGGCTTCTGGGGCTCCTCCGGCTCCAGCTCTGGCTCCTTCTCAAGGTCAAGATCCAGAGTCAGGGCTGCCTTCTGGGGGCTGTTGGGGATCCCGTTCTTCTCATCTAGGGCAAGACGGGAGGGCAGGGTCCTGCCTGTGACAGCCAGGCCAAGGGACACCTCCAGCACTAACACGGTGACCAGCCTCCACCGGCCGCAGGCGGAGAGATCAGTGCTGGCTGTGCCGAGGGCCACCTGCCAGGCACGGCACCACCTTAGCCGTGCCTGGCTTTACAAACTGAGGCTCAGAGAGGTGAAGGCATGCCCAAGGCCACAGCTGGGCTGCTGTGAAGTTGGGATTCAGTGCGGTGACACTCCGCCGCTCCCCTATCCAGAGGAACAGGCCCAGAGGGCGGCCGGGTGACTGACTACAGGCTCCCTGGCGGCAGGGGTGAGCCCCAGCTGGGGGGAGGTGCTTCCCAGCAGGGGTGTCTTGGGCCTCCTGCAGGGCGGGGACTCACCAGCCTGGAGGAGCTCAGCTTTGGTCTCCAGCTCCTGACCTTGGGCGCCCGGTGGCTTCTTGGCCAGGTAGTAGCGGGCAAATTCCTGTAAAGGGAGAGCTGAAGTGTCTGGATCCCTCCGGGTTGGCCGGGGACCCCCAGGGAATGGCATTTTCGGGGACCACACTGGGCCCAGGCCCCCCCTTCACCCCGGCCTCTCTCAGGGCCCCAGGCTCACCAGGTGGGGCAGGCTCAGGTAGCACACGATGGACAGGAGGATGCCCACGCAGGGCGTGATGAAGTACCCCAGCGCGGAGGTCTGGGCGTCCACGCCGCCTGTGCGGGAAGGTCAGGGCAGAGCCGGGGGTGCTGGCCGCGGCTCCCACGGCTGAGGGGCCCTCTCCCGTGACGCGCTCTCGGATGCCCCCTGCGCCTGCACCCTTCGTGCCTCTCACTTCCCTGCTGTGCCACCACTTTGTGGCGCACCTACTACGTGCCCGCTTTCTCTTGTGCCGCCTGTCAAGGTCTGAGACCGAAGCAGCCATCATCGTTTGGGTGGGAAATGACCCGTCCCACGGCCGCTGCCGGACAGACCTGGGTTACCCCCAAATCTCTCGGAATTCCCGACTTGTTCTCTCGCGTGACCTCGACCTGCCGCGACACAGGCGTGGCCCGGCGGCCCTGCCCAGGGTTACCCAGGCCCCACCAGTCTTTGTCCCCGCGGAACACAGGCCCGCTGCTGACTGCACGCCCAACCCCCAGCTCCGCACACCCCACCGCCTCCCCCCGCGTTCAGAACCAAGCATCTCATCACTGGCACATCCTCTCTGCTGCCCAGAACCCACAGGCCACCCCGGCCCTCCAGCTACCCAGTGAACTCACTGGCCATGGACAGCAGCATGGCAAGGGCGGCGAAAATCCCAGCCAGGCCCTGGCCACTGAGGAAGAGGGTGCTGTAGGTGGAGGGCATGGTGCCCAGCTGCCCGAAGAGGCTGCCCTGCAGAACTGCACAGAAGGCTGCAGAGGGACGAGAGCGGGGCCGTGCAGTCAGGCCCGGGGCTCCCGGCGGGGTTGTCGCCGGGCGGCCTGAGGCTCGAGCTAGCCCCCGCCCGGTCCTTCCTGCTCTGAGGTGCGGCCTCAGACGCGGGGCAGGGCAGGGCGATGAGGCTGGGGGAGGTGGTGTCTGGACAGGGCTGAGGTGCTCACAGTTGATGAACCAGACGGAGGCCATGGTGATGGCAAAGAAGGGCCCAGGGCTCATGTCCACCTTGACCAGCGCCGCCGTCAGGGCGAAGAGCAGCAGGATGACCAGCAGGCTGCCCAGGATCCGCACCGACTCGGGGATGCTGCTCGGGGCAGGGGCACCGGGCGTCAGCTGCGCCAGCGAGGGAGGAGCGCAGTGGGCGCCAGGGGAGTGGAGGAAGGGGGCCTCCCGGGGGCCCCAGTGGACCTGCCTGGGCGCGGGGAGGGGCCCCGGCCGCTCACCACTGGTACAGGAAGGAGTTGAGGAGCGTGAAGAGCAGCAGGGGCAGCTGGGACAGAAGCGTCACCCAGTTGTTGAAGTTGTAGGTGTCCACGGGGCCCGTGTGGTTGGTGCCCAGCGTCCCGGTGGTGTTGGCTCCCGCGAGCCGTCCCTGGAAGTACTGCCAGGGTGCCGGGGGAGGAGGATACAGGGTCACCCTAAAATCCACCCACGGGAACCCCCAGCCCATTTCTGCAATGCCGGGGATTGCTCAGCCCCCTGCTGTCCTCGGCCGTGCCGGGGGCAGGCGGGGCCATGATGTGCGCTGACAGACGGGGGCAGCCTGGGACAAGCCAGCCCTGGGCCCCAGCTCCGTCTCTGGCCCATCGCCCCCTCAGGGCCCTGGCTCCGGCCCCAGCCCCTGCGGGGCAGCCCCGACCTCCCTGAGTGTTCACTGTGCGGCTCCTGCAAGCTCCTTCTCTCTGAAACACCCATTCCTGGGCCCCTGCCCGCCGGCCCTGGCACAGGGCTCCTGCAGGCGAAGCCCAGAGGGTCCAGCGGAGCACCTGCAGCCTTCAGAGCAGGTCCAGCTCCCTTTCCTGGCCTCCCGCTGGATCCTGCTGAGCTCCAGGTACCCCGGGGCTCTGGTTCTTGCTCCCGCAGTCTGGAACTCTCCAACCAGGGCTTCTGCAAGGCTGCCTGGCGCAGCCCTGCGCACCCTTTGCTCAAGCTACAACCACCTTTCCTCTGCAGCACAGGGAACTGCCCCTCCCCTGGGACCCTCGGGCCCCTGTTCTGAGCCCGGCGGCAGGCGCGTGCACACAGCTCATTACATTATTAATAGCTTGCTGGCACCCATGTGCGCCAGGCGCAGGGGCTGATTCATCTCTGGGTTTCCAGGGCCCAGCCCAGAGCCAGGCACTGAAGAGGCCTCTGGAAAGTCCTCGAGCTGGACAGGGGAACAACCCGGCCCCACTTTCTGTCCTCTCGGGAGAGTCTCAGCTGCCAGAGCAGAGAGCCTTCCCCGGCTGTCTCCTCCTGGGAGGTGAGGGGGCAAGAACTGGGCCACGGGAGGGGCACCCCAAATTCGTGCTGTATGAATGAACGCGTTTCGTGCTACTTCAAAGAAAACGGGAGTCTTTGCCAACCCACTCCCGGAGTGACTGGCTCCCGGGCCACGACAAACGGGCGGGGCGGGGCGCGGCTTCCCGCGGGTTCCACAGTGCGTCCCGCCAGGATCTGGACCCGAAACCTCGGTGACCGGACCTGAGCGAGGCACCTCCTGTCTCTGAGCGAGCGACACATGGGCACAAAGGGGGGCCTGGCGGGAAAGCGAGGCGGTTGGCGGCCGCGAGTCTCACCGGGATGGCGGTGATGAAGAAGTTCCAGGGCAGGAGGGTGCCCAGCCCCAGGACAAAGAAGCTGATCCCGACCAGGCGGTAGCTGTGGGGACCAGGCAGAAGGTCACCCCGAGGACGCACCGCCAGGCCACCGGCCGCCGCTCCCGCCTCCCAGGCCCCCCGCGGAGACAGGACTACAAGCCCCATCACCGCGACTGGGCCGCCCAGGGAGCCGGCTGATGGGATTTGTAGTTCCAGCCGGTCTTTCTTTGCGCCTTCGCGCACCCGAAAGGGGCGGGTGTTTGCTGCCCACGGCCCCCAGGCCCCGGAATGCACCCCACCGGCCCCGACTCGCCTGTCCTGCGGGGCGTCTCCTCGCGCCATAGCCGCCCAGCAGATGCACCCGGTGGGAGAGGTGGGGGAGCCGCCCTGCGCCGCGCGGGAGCCCGAGGGCCGGGCGCCCCCGAGGCTGGTCTTGCGGGCGGAGGGCAGAGGCCTGGGGCGTCCGGTCTTCCCGCGGGGGGCGGGCAGGCGGGAGCTGAGGAGTGAGATCCTGGGGGCTGCGCCGGGCTCCAGCTCAGCAGCGCGGACCTCGGCTCCGCCCCCGGGGCGGGCACAGAGT